AAAAAATTGACATTCAAAGTGTGATAGCGCTGAAAGCTGCCCTGGACTGGAAGGGGGTGAAAGCGTCCGGACTGGAAGGGGGTGAAAGCGTCTGGACTGGAAGGGGGGGGGGAAGCGTCCGGACTGGAAGGGGGGAAAGTGTCCGGACCAGGGGCGGACTGACCATTTGGAAACTCGGGCACTGCCCAAGGGCCCGGGGACTGTAGGGGGCCCCATGAGATGCATACAAAAAAGGAGGGTTGTGAAAAGAGATTCACAGAAAAGCGGCTACATAATGAACAGAACGTGACACTAAGGGAATAATTTCCAAAAATTATGCTTTATTACACACAAATGAATATGACATATGGGCATTTGCCCTGGTTTACCATCACCTCAGTATGAGACAATACACACAGACCTAAAACCATTTAAAATGACACAAAAACCGGTCTAAATGTATGTGTAGCAGGGAAAATGGCTACATGAGTCTAGTGTCCCTGCAACACAAACACACAGGTGAACACTTCCCTAGGGAGGTGTATCCAAAAATTATGCCATGGGCATACCATAATAGAGGATATAAGGGATTAAACAGTAACCATAATGGCAAATCCCTATCAAGAAATCCAAAAAATTATGCTGTAGATATATATATCACATGTATGCAATGGAGCAAGCACAATATGCGTCAAAAAGGAGAGTAGCAAGCCTCAGGCCTGTATGAAGGAAGACATAAATGTCAAATATATTGTACAATACATTCCTGTGCCGGCACAAGTGGTTGGGGCCCATTCATCTGTAATATAGATAGCTGTTTCCTAGAGCTCTTGGATGGAATATGCCCCATTTATTTCCAGGATGGAAGAAAAGATGCACACAGCAGCACTCTGCTTGAAATGGTTTCTTCACCACTACATGTGGACTATACACCACTTTTTGTAGGAAAAAACAAGACACATCCCAAAGACTCTTCTGCCTGTTGAAATATATATGGTATATCTTGTTTCCTATACAAAGCACCATGATGTCCCCATCCTGTAGTGAAACAAACAATATGTGGGAAGTCACTGACAGAGCTCACACTCTATAGAAGATATATAGGTCATATAGATCACAGAGGACCATATATCTAATGTCCTGCAACAATCCACTCACCACCTGTGCTATGGATAACGGGAATGTTATATGGAAATATCTCACTCAGCTTCGTTGGTCCTGACGAAGCTGAGTGAGATACGCCCATCGGCGAAACGCGTTGACGTCATACGTCAGATACGTCACTTCCGGTCATGCGCACTAGGTGGAACGCACGCTGACCCATAAGGAGGAAGCCATCTTCACAAGCCATGAGGCAAGCCTAAGCAGCACAAGCGCCGAGAAGGGGCTGGAACCCGCGGTATATCGGCGGATGTCAGCGGTGGTTCCTTGGCCGCCTTGGCCCTGTATGGCAGTACCTATGAAGGATTTCTCTTTCATTCCCATTATCCATAGCACAGGTGGTGAGTGGATTGTTGCAGGACATTAGATATATGGTCCTCTGTGATCTATATGACCTATATATCTTCTATAGAGTGTGAGCTCTGTCAGTGACTTCCCACATATTGTTTGTTTCACTACAGGATGGGGACATCATGGTGCTTTGTATAGGAAACAAGATATACCATATATATTTCAACAGGCAGAAGAGTCTTTGGGATGTGTCTTGTTTTTTCCTACAAAAAGTGGTGTATAGTCCACATGTAGTGGTGAAGAAACCATTTCAAGCAGAGTGCTGCTGTGTGCATCTTTTCTTCCATCCTGGAAATAAATGGGGCATATTCCCATCCAAGAGCTCTAGGAAACAGCTATCTATATTACAGATGAATGGGCCCCAACCACTTGTGCCGGCACAGGAATGTATTGTACAATATATTTGACATTTATGTCTTCCTTCATACAGGCCTGAGGCTTGCTACTCTCCTTTTTGACGCATATTGTGCTTGCTCCATTGCATACATGTGATATATATATCTACAGCATAATTTTTTGGATTTCTTGATAGGGATTTGCCATTATGGTTACTGTTTAATCCCTTATATCCTCTATTATGGTATGCCCATGGCATAATTTTTGGATACACCTCCCTAGGGAAGTGTTCACCTGTGTGTTTGTGTTGCAGGGACACTAGACTCATGTAGCCATTTTCCCTGCTACACATACATTTAGACTGGTTTTTGTGTCATTTTAAATGGTTTTAGGTCTGTGTGTTATTGTCTCATACTGAGGTGATGGTAAACCAGGGCAAATGCCCATATGTCATATTCATTTGTGTGTAATAAAGCATAATTTTTGGAAATTATTCCCTTAGTGTCACGTTCTGTTCATTATGTAGCCGCTTTTCTGTGAATCTCTTTTCACAACCCTCCTTTTTTGTGTATGCCTCTTTTGGCTACTGAATGGAGACCATACATTGGGTGACACATTAATGTATTTAATAACCTCTTTAATAACTATCTTAGTATATTGGCCCCATGAGATGCCCCTGGTACCTTTTTTCATAGGCTTTTTTGAATTTGGACAAGGACACAGGGGCCCCATGATTCCCTATTGCCCCGGGGCCCCATGAGTTGTCAATCCGCCCCTGCTCTGGACTGGAAGGGGGGGAAAGTGTCCGGACTGGAAGGGGGTGAAAGCATCCGGACCAGAGGGGGGTGAAAGCGTCCGGACCGGAGGGGGGTGAAAGCGTCCGGACTGGAAGGGGGGTGTGAAAGCGTCCGGACTGCGAGGGGGTGAAAGCGTCCAAACTGCGGGGGGGGGGTGAAAGCGTCCGGACTGCGGGGGGTGAAAGCGTCCGGACTGGGGGGGGTGAAAGGGGGGGCAAAGCGTCCGGACTGCGGGGGGGTGAAAGGGGGTGAGGCGTCCGGACTGGAGGGGGGGTGAAAAGCGTCCGGACTGCGGGGGGGTGAAAGCGTCCGGACTGCGGGGGGGTTGTCAAAGCGGGGACTGGAGGGGGGGAAAGCGTCCGGACTGGAGGGGGTGAAAGCGTCCGGACTGGGGGGGTGAAAGCGTCCGGACTGGGGGGGGTGAAAGCGTCCGGACTGCGAGGGGGGTGAAAGCGTCCGGACTGCGGGGGGGTGAAAGCGTCCGGACTGCGAGGGGGTGAAAGCGTCCGGACTGCGGGGGGTGAAAGCGTCCGGACTGCGGGGGGGTGAAAGCGTCCGGACTGCGGGGGGGTGAAAGCGTCCGGACTGCGGGGGGGTGAAAGCGTCCGGACTGCGGGGGGGTGAAAGCGTCCGGACTGCGGGGGGGTGAAAGCGTCCGGACTGCGGGGGGGTGAAAGCGTCCGGACGGACTGGGGGGGGTGAAAGCGTCCGGACTGGAGGGGGGTGTGAAAGCGTCCGGACTGCGAGGGGGTGAAAGCGTCCGGACTGCGGGGGGGGTGAAAGCGTCCGGACTGCGGGGGGTGAAAGCGTCCGGACTGCGGGGGGGTGAAAGCGTCCGGACTGGAGGGGGGTGAAAGCGTCCGGACTGCGGGGGGGTGAAAGCGTCCGGGAAGGGGGGTGAAAGCGTCCGGACTGCGGGGGGGTGAAAGCGTCCGGACTGCGGGGGGTGAAAGCGTCCGGACTGCGAGGGGGTGAAAGCGTCCGGACTGCGAGGGGGGTGTGAAAGCGTCCGGACTGGAGGGGGTGAAAGCGTCCGGACTGGGGGGGGTGAAAGCGTCCGGACTGGAAGGGGGGTGAAAGCGTCCGGACTGCGAGGGGGGTGAAAGCGTCCGGACTGGAAGGGGGTGAAAGCGTCCGGACTGGGGGGGTGAAAGCGTCCGGACTGCGGGGGGGTGAAAGCGTCCGGACTGCGAGGGGGGTGAAAGCGTCCGGACTGCGAGGGGGGTGAAAGCGTCCGGACTGGAAGGGGGGTGAAAGCGTCCGGACTGGAAGGGGGGTGAAAGCGTCCGGACTGCGAAGGGGGGGTGAAAGCGTCCGGACTGGAAGGGGGGTGAAAGCGTCCGGACTGGAAGGGGGGTGAAAGCGTCCGGACTGGAAGGGGGGTGAAAGCGTCCGGACTGGAAGGGGGGGTGTGAAAGCGTCCGGACTGCGAGGGGGTGAAAGCGTCCGACTGGAAGGGGGGTGAAAGCGTCCGGACTGGAGGGGGGGTGAAAGCGTCCGGACTGGAAGGGGGGTGAAAGCGTCCGGACTGGAGGGGGGTGAAAGCGTCCGGACTGGAGGGGGGGTGAAAGCGTCCGGACTGCGAGGGGGTGTGAAAGCGTCCGGACTGCGAAGGGGGGTGAAAAAGCGTCCGGACTGCGAGGGGGGTGAAAGCGTCCGGACTGGAAGGGGGTGAAAGCGTCCGGACTGCGAGGGGGGTGAAAGCGTCCGGACTGCGAGGGGGGTGAAAGCGTCCGGACTGGAAGGGGGGTGAAAGCGTCCGGACTGGAGGGGGGTGAAAGCGTCCGGACTGGAAGGGGGGTGAAAGCGTCCGGACTGCGAGGGGGGTGAAAGCGTCCGGACTGGAGGGGGGTGAAAGCGTCCGGACTGGAAGGGGGTGAAAGCGTCCGGACTGCGAGGGGGTGAAAGCGTCCGGACTGGAAGTGGTTAAATGTAAAATGTATGAAAAATAAAAACGTCCCAGAAGACAAGCGGCTAAATTATGGCAATTCTAGTATATTGGAACAACAAATTGTTTGGTCAGTTTTACAAATGGGTGAAAGTTTGATCAGAAGTAAAATGTTTCGAAGAACGAGAGTGAGTTTGAAGAAGCCGTGCCTTGTGCTCCCAGCCTGCGCCTAATACGTGCTGCCTTGCCCTTCCAGGCACGCTCCGTCCAGTAATACACGATTTTCTGTGAGGAAACGTCTGCCTATCCCTAACCATGCAGACGGCACACATCCGCAATAAGCCAATCACCGATGGCCTCTGTAACAGGCTGGGAGCTGCGCTGAGAAGTGAGCTGTGATTGGCGCCTGTGGAGAGGCGGGGTCATTGGCGAACAGGAAGTCCATTGCCTGTGTGTTGTGGCCGGTGGATGGATGTTGCTGTTCCAGGATGGGGGACAGTAAAGCTCCAACCGGAGAAGGAATGGCCCCCCTCACGGAGACGGCTAGCAAACCTTTGCCGTTTAAACAAGCGCATTTCCTTGTAAGTGTCAGTGTGAGGAGTAGGATGGTTTGTGGACGTCAGTATTGGGGTTCTGTGTACTTCTTGTTATTGGAGTGTATTGTGTGGGAGGCCATTGTTATTGGGGGAGGGGATCTTATGAGGACACTCCAGTTTATAAGAAATGGTTGAGTGTAGACATGGCAGACCTTTGTCAGGTGTACGGCAGGAGAAGTAGACTTGGGGCGCGTTCACACTTGTCTTTCTAAGGACACGTTCACACTAGCCTTGTTTGCAAGCGGCAGACAGGCATTTGGGAAGCGTTTTTACAGTTTCCTAAACGGCTGTGAAAATTCTGCACATTGCAGCACATGGTGCTGTTCACACGGGAGTGTTAGCGTTGCGGCAAAACGGACACCTCTGGCCCAGTCAGGAGGAGTTGAAGCCTCCTATTCAAGTCTGTGGTGCCGCTATGGTGCGGTTGCAGGGCGTTTGTGGAGCGTTAACACCATTCAAACTTCACTATAGGCGTTTGTGGGCGTTTTTAATGCTTTGCAAACGCCTAGCAACTGCCGCTAAACCGCACATGTGTGGCGCCTGAGGAGCGTTAAAAAACGCTCCGCAAATGCCGGACCAACGCTTGTCAAACGCCCCTATAGCATTTGACAGGCGTTAGGCGTTTGGGAAGCGTTTTTTAACACTCTAACGCCCTATGTGCAGTTTTGAGGCGGTTGATAGGTGTTTGCCAAGCATTAAAACTGCACCACAAACGCCTGTAATGAAGTTAAATGGTATTAACACTCCGCAGCCACCTGCCAGGCATTTGAGGAGCAGCACTATAGACTTGAATGGGAGGCTTGAACTCCTCCTGACTCGACACAAGGCGTCAGTTTTGCCGTGACGGAATGCTAACGTTTGAGAAGAGTTAAAACGGCTTCCCAAACGCCTGCTAAGAAAACTAGTGTGAACGTACCTTACACAGGTGGTGATATTAATAGGTGGTTTAGCCATGACTTTACCACCCCTATCAACCCCCTAAACGTTGGTTTGCATTTTCGCCAAGTGATTTGAAGCACATTTTTTTTGTGGAACACGCATAGGGCAGCCCATTAATTTGTGCCCTACGCCTGACAAGTGGCAAAGTAACTTATGGAACTTTTTGCCCGAATTCCAGGTTGTGCGTCTTTGTGCACCATTAGCAAATATTGGCTGCGCAAATGTGACAAGCATTTTTTCTGAGTGTTCCAGGAATACACAGGAAAATCTGTGGACACAGGAGTTCCTAGATTGCACTGCTGCGCACCCTAAGGGCATGCATGAGGCACATGAGCAGGAGGATGTCCTATGCCTTGCCTGGTTAACAGTGCCCCCCGCCTGGCCGTTTTATTGCAGTAGGCCAGGTGGGAGGTGCTCAAAGCTGGTCTTCACCTTTCAAGAGGTGTGCCAGGCTCCCCAAAAAAAAGTATCAGTCCAGGGGTCCAGCACCATCGTCACCCAGGCTAGTTCTTTACTAGCCTCTGGGTCCCCAGTGCCAGCATTACAAGTGAGGGAAACCAGAAGTGAAGCCTTGCGACTTTATAGCCGGGTTATCTACTGTGCCTGTGCGAGCCATGCTGCACCTTGTGATTGGACCCGTAGTCCTTCTGGGACCTGTGAAGTGTGCTGAAAGTGAGAGCAGGTATCTGTAAACACCAGGTACCCACTGACCAATGTGGCAGTGGAGAGGGGGAGGGTGCAAACAAGCGGAGCTTTCTCTTTTTTTATTGGAGCTTCTCTTTGTTATTCCTTTAACCACTTCCCAACCAGCCGTTGTATATAAACGGCCGGAAGGTGTTACTGCAGGGTCAGGTAGCCATTTATAAATGGCTTCCCGCACTCTGCTTGTGCGCACTCCCCCGATCCGGTGCCCGCTGTGTCCTCCGGACACAGTGAAACACCGATCGTCGGACGAGACCTCTGTACGAGGTCCCAATCATGTGATCACTGATTGGGCAATCCGTGATCACATGCAAAGTAGTAAGCAAGATGTCACTTGTGACATCATTGCTTACTACGTGTGAAATCTGTGAATGATCACAGAGGTCACATGGTACAAGGCTATTCACAACAGCCTTGTACCATGTGACAAGCTGTGACCAATCACAGCTCGCACAGTATTTCTCAATGGCTGCAAGAATGCAGACAGAGAGAAAGAGAAATGATTGCTTTTACATCCTATATGGGTCTAAAAGCAATCGGTGTAAAAAAAAAAAAAAAAATCTTCATCACCCCCCAAAATTAGTACAGTGTCACCCATGGTGACACTGTACTGCTAGGGTGACAGTATGTAAAAAAAAAAAAAATAAAATAATGTAAAAAAAAAATGTTTAAAAATTATAATTTTTGGTTATAAACTAATTTGGCTTATTTTTTTTTTTTTTTACTAAAAAGATAACGGAATAAATTTTGGCCAAGATTTATGATGAAATATTATTTATTTGCAAAATTTTATAAGAACACTTTTTTCAAAATTTTTGGACATTTTCATTTACATAGCAAAAAAAATAAAAATCCCAGAGGTGAATAAATACCACCAAAATAAAGTTTTATCTGTCTCAAAAATGGTAAAAAAATTCATATGGGTACAGTGTTGCATGACCGCGCAATTGTCATTCAAAGTGTGATGGCGCTGAAAGCTGAAAATTGCCCTGGTCAGGAAGGGGGTAAAAGTGTCCAGACTGGAAATGGTTAAATAGTTTGTTTGAGCCAAGCTGGCCCAAATTGAATGTGAACGTTACTAAGTAATTAAGAAAATATATGCCACAAATATGATATCAAACTGACATAAAAACAGTTCATAAAGTGACTTGAAGTGCTCAGATATTCCTATGGCTTCCTGAAAATGAATGATGTGCATATAGGTGCATATAGGTGCATAAGGAATGCACACTCACCAGAAGTTGCAGCTCTCTGTGTAATGGAGGCTCCCTCTCTGGTGGTCAGGTGGCAGGTAGCTGTAAGTTGATACTCCACAGGGGAGTCCAGGTAAAAGCATACCCATAGTGTAGTATTTCAAGGATTTTATTTTATTTACTTTTTCAATAAAATCCTTGAAATACTACACTATGGGTATGCTTTTACCTTGTCTCCCCTGTGGAGTATCAACTTACAACTACCTGCCACCTGACCACCAGAGAGGGAGCCTCCATTACACAGAGAGCTGCAACCACCTATCCCTTAAAGGGAATTCTGGATAACCCTGATGTCCCACTAATGAGTCCCAGGACCACAAGAGGGAGTCTGCTGGATTCCTACCTTACCCTGTGATGACCATCTGATGACATCAGGATATAACATACAAACGCTCATTAACTTGCGTGTTCTGGTGAGTGCGCATTCCTTATGCATCTATATGCACATCATTCATCTTCAGGAAGCCATAGGAATATCTGAGCACTTCAAGTCACTTTATGAACTGTTTTTATGTCAGTTTGATATTATATTTGTGGCATATATTTTCCTAATTAGTAGCGTTCGTATTTATTGTATTTTTTTTACTATTTTCATTTTAGCGCTGCACATTTATTTTATACAATCTATAAGGGTTTTTTTGGTTACCTTGTGCACAGCTGCTTTCACCCTCTTTGTGCGCTCACATTTATTTGCATTATATATTGGGCAAAATTAAATATTTACTGCACTAACGTGTGCTTGCTGGGCATTCTGTATTAAAGTGGAATTAACACTGCATCTGAGCACCACAAGCCAAAAACTCATCCATCCATGTCTCTGTGCTTTATTTTGCTGAGAAATCATTTACCCCCCCCCCCCCCCCCCCCCCTTAAATGTCATTGTTTGTTTTTTTTTGCATTGGAACATGTCCCCTCCCATGAACGTCGGGGGTACATTGATAGGACATTACTACACATTGAAACAAAATGGATTTATTTGTTGTGTCCTACAGTACCCAGGACTTAACAATTTTATTTGCTAAAAACCTTTACTTTAAATTTTGCTCTGGATAGAACTGCTTTGGCTAGTCATGATAGGCAGGGTTCATATCCAAGGTATATTATAACACAATTTCAGCCATTCATGGTTAAAATCATATATAAAACCTTTTGTAGATATGTTTTTCTTTTTTCCTTTGTTTTGAATTTTGTGTGGCAATTGTATTATTTGATTTGACATTTATGTACCCCGATAAGGACTGGATTATATGTATATATGCATGCAGATCTTTCAATCGTGCTCATTTTGCTTTGTTTGCGCACCTTTTGGACTGTAATCTGCCTGGAATTCTGATATATCATCTAGGGAGTTTTTTCTTTATCCTCTAGGGTCCCCTTTGGGGATGCTTCTGTTTGGTGGCACTTTAGAGGCAACCGTACGGACATGTAGGGCGTTGTGTTTTTTTCTGGGTGACACTGTGCCCCTCAGTTTTACACAGCGACTGATTTTGGAGACCTTGCTAGGGCACGGTATATCCTTACCACCCTATTCACTCCAAAATATAGGGTGGGGGCAGATCTCTCGACATCTTAGTGGGTGTTTACCCTGAATATGGATTTAAGCCGTTTTTACCATCCAGTAGCCTCCTCATAGCCATCTCCTTCCCAACCGCTAGGTGGTGCTGTTCATGGGTTAGGTAATCAGGTATGTTGCCTCAGGGCTCGACAAATCTCAGGCGCCTTGGTGACTAGAAATTGCATTTTGGTGCCTGGGCTTTTGTCAGCCCATTCAGCCAGGGCTCACACTTGCGATATGGTCCCCACCCAGGTGATATTGCATGGGGTGCAGAGACACAGGGGCACGACACCTCTCTTACTATTCCGAGCGGCTCTGCTGGTGACACAGGCAGCAGTGGTGGTGGGTGAACAGGAGGTGTGGGCCCACGAGGGGAGAGCAGAGGAGGGATTGTTCTCCATTTTTGGGCGCAGGATCCAGTGCATCTGCACAGTTATAGTTCCAGCTGCCCACTGTATGCATTCCCTGGAAGATGGATTCTATTATGGAGCCATTCTCCTCCCTCACTAAGTGCGATGCCGCAGCCTGAGGGAGAG